GGACCCCTCTTAAGGAAATTCGACATTGGCCGTGCCATTTCCGCATTATTTGCGCTATACTTGTGAGAGTAGTTGACAAGGCCAAGCCCCTTGCTCAAGTCCTCTTGATTCTTTGGAATCGGCTAGTCTCCAATGGCCTTAACCTTAGCAGAATCCACTCGAAGGCCACGCTTCCCAATGAAGCACCCTAAAAGGGGACTTCTTCCGCGCCGAAGATGCACTGATCGGCATTAGCATACTGATTATTCGTGAGCATACACTGAACATATTTCTCAAATATGCGATGTGATTTTCCACATCTGTTCTAAATGTCGTCAAAGTATGCTTGTGCATACGCCCGGTTGGGCCTGAACAACTGCATCACAAGACGATTGAGGTTGTTGGTGCATTTGACAGCCCTTCGGGCATCACCAGCCACTCTCAGAACATCCCGCTCGGAAACCTCACCGCTGTCAGTGGAATATCGCTCACTCTCAACCAAGTCGAGTGCGCTGTACTTTGTACAGCAAACCATATTGTTTTGGAGAACATTATTTCTTGGATCGGAGTCTGTGCCGGAATGGTGGTAGCGTTTAGCTTGTCGTAAGCGTGAACGATACACCACTTGCCGTTCGGCTTCCAGACACAAAATTTGGGTGTCGATTGGGGAGACTTACTCTCATGCACCATCCCTGCGCCGTGCTTTGCATGGAAAATGGCGTCAATGACGGCACACTGCTCCTTGAGCAGGGGCAATTGGCGTGATATGCAGTATTTAGTTCCCGGAACCAGGTCAATCTCATGACGCACACCTCGATTCGAAGGTAGGACCGACGGGCGGGTCTTTCAGCATCTTAAAGAAGCGACGACGAGATAACCTCCCCGTTTGGTCTTAAAATGACCACCTCGGCTAAATGCCTGCCTTCAAGGTATCGCCAAATTTTTCAAAGGACATCTTGTCCAGCTCAAGAAGAGCATACACCGTGGAATAGCCTCGAGGGTGACGTTGCCGTCTTCCTCTCGCGTCATACCGTTGACAAGGGTATATAGCTGTGCGCTATCGTCTACGGTAGACACAACCTGGGTCAGGGTCAGCGCCCTGCGCCTTGTAGATAACATACGGCTTCGCCGGCTCCTCTCTATCAAAGTTTACGTTTTGTCGAGACCAGTGGTAACACGCACTCAGCGTCGTCCAGTGTACTCACTCCCTATTCCATCAGAGCCATGATTTTATTAACAACAACCGACGAAGAGCTGCAAGTTCCACAGTCTTCGTCCAGTGGATAACGCGCCACTCCACGCGCATCACAAGGGCCTTGCCCATGATGCCTCGAACCTCGTCCAACCATGCCATTCTTGGCATGCATCAACTGCTTCGTAACGTGAGCAGTGCTCAGCGGTTTACGTGCCACTCCACGTGCATCACAATAGTCTCGCCCTTGATGCCTCGGCTCTTGACCGACCATGCCAGTTTAGGTGCTCCAATACTTGGGCAGCGCTCAGTGGTTACGTGCCACTACACGTTCAGCCGGCGAGCCACGTTCGGGACTCTTGTACAATTCACCTTCGGTGTTTAACATTTCGGATACTATGGTATTTAGCACATTAACCTTCCCGGTTCAGTGCCCGCGCCAATAGCGTTTTTGCTTCCTAGCAGAGGTGAGTTCATGACTCACCAAAGCTTCACTAGGAGACGCGCGCGTAGCGCCCAAGATCTTCGATCTGCAGTCAATCCATGGCTCATGGTGTTCCAGACATGCCATACCAAGGGTAAGGACATACCTCGCATCCAAGTCTAAGACTGGACAGCGTTCCACGCTACCAAAGTCAAGAAACTTGACGCCGAGATCCACAGGGACCCTCGGCATAGTGACACAAGTCCTCGTCACGTAGCGAACAGTGACAGTGTTCCTCAACCGCGCTTTCAGGGTCTGAGCATACAGCTGAATTCCTTCCATCGTGGAGTGTCGAGCATAATCATCCGACGACCCGGAATTGATAAGAATCATCCATGGCTTCTCAGAACTCTTTACGGTCGCTTTTACGATCAGCAAGCCCGGCTTGCATACACGTTCCGTGTTCGAGAGCACGCAGCTCTTCGGGGCTGGGCCCTGCTACCCATTACCTCTTTGAGGTCCAACAAAACCCAACTTTTCCCCAGTAGGGCCCTCGCGCCTACTGGTTGTTTTCGTTTCCCCGCGACGAACCCGAATGGTGAGAAGCGGGTCGTCGGTTCGATGCGCCTTGCGCAGGGGACAACCAGTCTCCACCAACAAAACACCGTCTAGTGTTTAAACGCTGCTCGGCAGCTCGGTGATCTCCCTCCTTTTTCTCAGCATAGCTGATATCCATTGGCTCAGGCCCGCTCGACGAGCTCTGAGGATGTGCATTCCAACCAAGTCGTGCCGACTTAAAATTGAATTCGGCGTTTAATGCCACATTCACTGCTCCTTCAAAAGAAGACAGAATCACCCGAAACACTTTCATTCTGACCACACCAGTGCGGAAGCCCTCCACAGAGAGGGTTACTGTGACCGCCTCGAGGAGAAGATCGGCTGCCATCTCGGCAATGAGATTTCGCAACTCTTGGAAAAATTCCACCAACTCTTCTTGCCCCGTCGGGCGGCAAGGAGACGCGATCGTACGCGATATGCCTGGTTAGGCAGCGAGACACCCGCAAAAGCTGAGGCTCCATTCCTCCACGAGGGGAAAGCCACTTCAGCCGAAGTACCGCACGTTAGTGCCCGTTCTCGCTTGGCCCCCAGCTTTAAGATAGCTAGCGCCACACGCTGTTGCTCGTTCTGGAGCATGGCGGATGCCATAGCCATCTAGGCAACTCTCACCCAGAGCAGAGATTTTCTCCATCCTTACCCTCGAAGGTCTTAACGCTCACCTAAAACGACCTGGGTCGGGGGGGGGGGTCATCCGTCGTCAACGGTGGCGCCATGGACGCAGTCGACGCCAACATCTTTTTCTTGAGGCACTCTAGCAAAGCATTTTCATAGTTCAAGAACGCTTCTACGCTCGCGTTTATTGCTTCGGGTCCTTGCGATGCAAGGTGTTGCACGCTCTCATGGAAAAGTAATAAGCTTATCATGCCCGTCCTGCATGCCCTAGGGCAAATAGTAGAATTGCTCCATCCTCACAGAGGATCAGTCGCAACGACTCAGGCGTAGATTGACTACGAGTGCTATCAAGTTGCTGCTGCTCGTTGCTTAAAGGAAGGTAAGCTAAGGTCACCCACTTTACGTTCTATACCAGTACCAGTACGAGTATAGCGGATCGCAATCCACTACCTCCAAGAGTACCTGAAACCTGAACCAAGGCAAATACACTCTTCCGTTCAAAACTGAATTCTGTATTTATATGTTGCATATGTGACAGAGCCGCCTATACCTATAACCTTAGATTTTTCTAGTCAAATAGTAAAACCTAAATAAAATGTATAACTACTGACAGTCCCGCCACGTCGCGGCTTCTGTGTTACGGTGTAGCCACACCATTATGTGATTACACCAAATTATGTAATCCACACCTTCGTACGGTCACACCATCCTGTGTGACCCACCCCTGTATACCAGGCTACGTGTAACCGCGTTACACCATCGGCTTATTAGCTGTTTCCGCTCCACACACGTCATTTCGCGGCGACCTGTAACGCAACGTGCTGTCTGTTGCTACGTCTGTAGTATGAACGAATTAGTGGGTCTCTCTAACCTCTCACTTAGCGAAAGAAACTATTCCCATCCCTGCTGCTAAAACGCTGAACACTTAAGATTAATTAGCCTCACCACGATGCTTCCACCGACTTCTTGTTGAAATGCTCATAAAGGTGTCCCAACAATGGCTTTAAATTTCCAGTAAACGCTTTTAGGCGATAGAATACCACTTTTGACCCTCATATCGCCAGGTTTCTGATCATCTTATGACCAGCAATAGCCAGGAGTTTATCATGTTACCTCAAAATCAGATGGTGGTTAATAATGCTTCAATGAGACTTGGTCATCGAATTGGCGATAGGTGCTACCAAATGCGAAACGGTTGCCATACACATAAGGTTTGGCTCAACGAGTTTGCGTTAGCTAGCACACATATAGTGAGCTCGTACGCTCTACCCGTTAGCGGAAACGAACCCGTTCAGGTGTCTGAATATCTAATCTGCTTATCTATCTCAAAGAATGAGATACATCTAAATTTATTCTAGTTATTACTAAAAGAGTCCACCATCTACAAACTTATGTATTGCATACTGTCTACGAACTTATGTATTGCATTCAAGAGCCTCTCCTGTACTTTTGAGCATTAACGCATCATGAATCGCACTTTGGATCTTCTGGCAAGCGTAACTGTAATGTACATCATGATACGAGACATACTTCGTTACATAACATCTGCGAGTACTATGGTAATATACGGCAGCCAAGTGATCACACCTTCCATCTACATCTATAGCTCGCCCACAAAGTTTCCACTTACACGCTTTTACCGACCCTTGTAGTATGGATTTTTGCTCAAACCAATGTGATTCCTATCTCATCTTTGAATGACGCGGAAGGTTTCAGTGCGAGCCGCTCCTGTACAAAATCTCCAAGAATACATTTTAATGGGATTCATACAGAATTACGGTGCACGTAAACATCACACTATTTTCTTAGGGCATGAGACTTTGCAATGGAAAGGTCTCTGAGAAGAGTGAGCCACCAGTCTCACGTCAAGCAAAATATTGCCCATAAAAAGCATTTTAGAACAGATATATCATCAAAACGAAACTTAATTTGCGATATGTGTCGTTCTCAAAATCGAAAAGCAATCAACGAGCTTTTTACCTTACAGGCTATCGCTCTCGTTAATTGGGCGGGACGTGCAAACTCATCCTGATATAATAGAACGCTGTTTTTTTCCATTCGGTCGGCCTGATCCAACTGATACTCGACGTTTTCAAATAAGATTAATTGACTTCACCCCCCCTAAACAAGAATAACCGATCTTCCTCTCAATCGGGAGCGACAGACAGAGCGCAGATGCTGGCACTCCAGAGCGTGTTGATATCAATGTGCTGTAAGTCGAGGATACATCACTCTACTCATACCTGATTTAGCTGCAATTGATTGCCTTACACGCTAATAAGGTCCCTATTTCATCACGCCTACCGATCGAAAGTTGTATTTTGAATTGAATGACGTTCACAGCTGTCTCAATGAGGCTGAATATACGTGGAAGGTACCGGATGAGGCTGCATCTGTGCGGACACCGTCCATATATACATAACATTATCTGTTTTCAATTTCGACCTGGATCAGCCGATATCCCAACAATTTGCTTTTATCCATGTCAGAAAAAAGATGATAGCTTAGAACACATGCAGATGGCACAAAACATTGACGTTTGAGCACTCATCCCAATAGGAAACGCCTTTCTACCTGACAGGCTGCACGGTGTGCTCATTCTTGTGCGTGACCTCTCAGCTTGGAATTCGCTAATGCGATATGCTGTTGCTACTAGTACAGCGCGGTCGAATGCAAGGTTATCACCACCTCTCGTATCCGAGAGACATCGTATTCAGGTTTTGTCTCAAACGAGTTTTACGATGAAGAACTCGGTGGTGCTCATGTTAGCCTCTGACTAACACCTCCCACGGGGTGTTCATCAGAGAGCGGAAATTGCTTCCGTTCCCTGGATTACTAGTTGTTCTACATCATCCAGCCTAATTGATACAAGAAATCTATCTTGTGTGTCCTATTGGTCCGGGGTGTGATAGTTAAGCATTCTCATCCTTATAAAGGGTACAGTCCCTAATGTCCTCAGTCGTACATGTGCTACCATGTGCAACGGGAATACCATGGCATATCGCGCAGCGAAAGTATTCGAGTCATATCTACCAAATAACGCAAAGAGGATATCGTATGAAATCGAAATTTTTAGAAAATACTTTCTGCAACCAGTATAAGTGAGATTACAGATTGCACAAGGCTAGCATACATCTGAACTACGGACCTTTCTTCTTGTAATACTATCACTCTTAAAACAGCAAGACGAAGTAAGATAAATGATCAAAGAGGATTTACAAGTAGATTGAGTCTTGGCCCTTTTAACGTGAGTAATGAGTGAAATTGCACAATTGATTTTTTCGTATGCTCGAGACTGAAAAACATTTGTTTCTTGTAGTTTTAAGAAGCTATTCAAGACAGCCCGAAATACGGCACGCACGTTTGCGCTTAAGAAAAAGACTTGTTAGAAACGCGATAAAATTGCAACTGAGACCAAATGAGATCGTAGTTCGGAAAGCCTACTTAAAAAATCACTAGAGCCACACGAGGTTATTTGTATAAAGCCCATGCCTTCAAAAGTAAAATCTATGGAGCACTGAGATTGAACCACGGGGAAGTTGGAAAAACATGAACTTAGCGTCTCCGTGGATTGTTTCGCAAAGTTATTAGCTCACGCCACTCCCTGCAGATGGTAAAGACACGTTGGTCTCATCACTACTGTAGATCTTCAAGGAGGAACTATCATTCTATACTGATTCGTAGCCTGGAAACCTTACTCCGTACTCGATTAGTTTAGCGGACAACCGGGAATGTCATCTGTGCATGTGGAATCTATCGCACAATAATCAATTTGTTATCTGTCCCAACAATCCACGTCGAATGTGATGTTTAACATATAGATCGATATTAACGGAATGACTAGGTTTGGCCCATTGAATCACCCCTCTTGAAATCAGAAGAACCTAGTGTACTTTTCAAGACCGTTCGAAGCAGTTTAAATCTCACGAGCACTAAAAGCTCTGTTTGTAGTTGTGATTCAAGTCAAGATTATCAGACTGAAGAGTCTTACGAGAATCCCACGTGTTAGAGCTCGGCGGAGAGCCAAGTAACCGTACTCGATAAGAGTGGTGACGGCTCAACCATTTCTTCTTTTGCTGAGAAGCTGCTTGATTATCGTAATCAATGGTCAAATCGACGATCCAACGACGCTCTTTTTATAGAACCTGAGTGTTCGCAATCGTGTTACTCGCAAACACACAACGGCTTGCTTGCTCATGATAAAGCCATTTACTTGCTGTTCCTATGACTAGTCGTGTCATCTAGAGGCTTCATCGAGTCAAGATTTCTCATGAAAATTGTGACAGCATCTTGATTAGACAGTGGCTTTTTAGCTTCAATCCCGTATTTAAGGTAGAAACTCTTCTACTAGTGACGCTGTCACACTAAATTGGAGTCCATGGTTTACATAAAATGGGGAGTGGTCTGACGAGACATGCTTGGCGTTGCTCAACACAAACTATGCGAGAAGAAACAAATCACGAAAGACGTAGCATAGCTGCGCAACAGCGTTCGACCTCTTATCTATGGGTGTGCTGCTGCTAACATGAATAGTTTCATATCCAAGATGTCGAACAGAGTACGCAAGAATCTAGACATAAATTAAGTGCTACGGTCCGATGCAATCTCCGAAAGCAGACTATGCAGACGGAATACCACGTTTGCAAACATTTTGCCCTCATTTCTGCTGAGATCTTGTCCGAGACCGAATTTAGATGCACCATTTTACTAAATCGGCCCACAAGCACCTGGATGCCATCCCTGCCGTTGTATCTTTATTAAATCTAGCACAAAACTTCAAACTGTCTTGAGAGACAGGCAGAGAACGGAGTGAGATGGCTTAACGCTTTGACCATCTCACAGATAGGCACACACTTGCGAAGCCACTTTACGTTTTTGGCTAGTTATATATAATCTCAAGGCAAGCTGGGAAACGTTTTCTCTCGCCCAGATGGCCATTTAAATTTCTGCCATAATACTTATAAAAAGTGTATGACGCAAACCTTCATCGCTGTAGACAATGATCCTGGCTGGACCCCTTCGTTAACTGCGTAGTACAACAGATCATTACGCATGCTGCATTGATGGACTCGCGCATTTTACACGTGCACATTTATAGCAACCTAATTATACAGGTCCACTAGTACACATATGACATACCGAGTATATCTTCTCTCTTCTGAGGTAGCCACCCAATGCAGCATTATGTGCCTCGTACTATTCTACTCAGCATGCGGTGACATCTCATGCTGAGTGCCGAGTGAGTTAGTGCTGTAGTTGAGAAACTGCGTTGTGATAAGGCATAGCGTTACAGACAAACAACTACTCGTGCCTTGATAATTGGGCATCTGAGGTCCATATCATCTTGCTGTCGGTCGGATTGATCAGCAACACAGCACATGTCACGCCTGACTCTTATGCTCTCTTTATCCAAATCGACATCGTCACCATTCTAACATGCGATAGTTTATGGTTGGACAACACGAAAGCTCATCCATCAACATATTCAGCCAGCCCGGCTTATTCCTTACCGATGATCTTACTCAATATAAATTACAATCTGTAAGAAATGTGATGACGATGTTACTATGTGCAACGACGCATAATCTGCGTGGATAAGAGTCAGTCAAGTGCTGAACCTGACTTGATTGCAAATAAGTTCTTGTTTTAGATACCTATCTCCAGCTGTCTTAGTTTGGATCCTACGGGAAGTGAACCATGTGCCTCCCGGTCCCATATCAAGTAGCTGACCACGTAAGCCCAGGATAAATCAAAAGAGTGGAAAGTCCAGCCGCACTAGAGCCGCAATGCGGAATACTACACACGTTAGCTGCGTAGATAACGCCTGCGCAAAGCATGAAAATATCCTGGACAGGGTAATCGTTTTCTACAGCTTAAAGCTGGCGAGACTCGGACGCGATCACGCGTTCATGCCGTGGTATCTGCTTGGAGTAAAAACACAGTCTTTTGCAAAGGACGAAGCATCGCAGACGACAAGGCAATGGTCTATCTGGACTCGGAAGATCCAAAATCGGGGCACATATGAGACTTTTTAAGACAATCTTGTAGGCCGCCTCTTGTGTTGCACCCCAGCACAATATATCGTCCTCTGAAATGAATCTGTGAGGTCGGTCGATGTCGACATACTAACATTTACCTTTGCAAGTTATTTGTCGGCTCCTCGAGGCTCATTGATATGGATGCCTTGGCCAATCTACACTGGTCGTTATCTCTGCGGGATCTGCCTTCATCTCATATTCGAAGCAGCCTAGAAAAAGGAATTTGTCGGCGCCAAAGGCACACTTGTTTATATTGGCAAAAAGATAATCTGGCGCATACCCTCGAGCACGTAATGCTTTTATATCTAACTCCTCGTGCTCTAACACGGCTACGGAAGAATGTATCTAAATAGTGGGTATTTGCGTAGCCATGATGTGGTCTGAACAGCTGCTTCACTCAACGATTGAGTGTCGCTAATGTATGAGAAAGTATATGTGGCATAACCAGCCGCTTCCACGCTCAGAATGCTTACCCCACTAAGAGGGATGTCGCTGTCGCTCACGGGTAGTTGATAATGCCCATCAATATGTCCAGGTTTCTGAACAAAGCGCAGACGACCATGCAGTTCAGCATGTTCTCCAAAATTGGTATTCACATTGATATCGTGGCTGTATTTTGCTTATTATATGCATGCATCTTTTGTCACTTGCTGTCAGCCCTTCTGACACAAATAATTCACGGGGAAGGTTTCGATTTTTCCACCAAATACACTTCGTGCTCTGGACGGAAGAAAGTGTCAAAGACCTTACGTCGTTTCTTGGTAAAGTATTTCAGCCATTTTCATGACGCACCCCCATCAAGGGGTAGTAGACGCGTTGAAACTTATATCTCAACGTCGTAATATTCCTTCAACAACGGATAGAAGGATCCGCAGGTTCCTCGCGAATAGCTGCCCTACTCCTCACGCTTGGCGTTCTCATTCATCCATTACGAAAAACAATTTCAGCTTTAATTGGTTCCTACTGCACCCTTTCGGTGACTATACAATTGACTTATTCAAGCGACCGCTAAACAAATCCATAGACAATGCTTGAGGCACAAACACGCCAATCTGATCAGAAAAATAAAATGAAAGGAATAAGGACAAGAATTCTCCAAGAAGCTTACAAGTCGCAAGTAGCCAAGATATATATCTGCGACAAAAGATCAAAAGGAACAGCGAATTGCACTCTCCACTTCGAACAACCTTTTCGTATACTTGGTCATTCAAATTTGTCAACAACCTCTAACTGCTTTATTTACTTTTCGGTATCAAGCATTTGATTAAACTCCACTACATGGACTTGACACTGCGCATCCCAGCTAGTTTTACTCTTCGAAGCACATTGAACATCTCACATCATAGTGTTAATTGCAATGTACTGTATATTCGCAGCCATTTCAATCAGCGGCCTCAGCTCGAAGTATCTGACTGGAAGCTTCATTGCTAGCGATCCAATTTACGATGTCAGCACGCATAGGTGGGTTAACATTTTCATCCGACTGTAAAGCAGGCAGCTTAGCAACGATTTGCATCGGAGTAAGCGCACCTAAGACTGTGTTTTTCACGAAAACAATGGCATTTACAAAGTCACCTTTGATGTTCTTGGTTACAAAGCGGTGCTCTACGTAAAAAGCACGCTTGTCCCAACAGATAAGTCGCGTCTCCATTATATAAGCTTGTCCAAGGGACAGTTCGCGTCGATAACGTACACTTTGCGAACCTACAACAAGATTTCCATTTGCTGCAGTAATAATCCTCCAAATGCCATTGTGCTAGTCATGAAAAGCATCGAAATCAAATTAAACTCTAAATTCCGATCTAACTCTGCATCATCCGTACCTGCCACAAGTTGCGACGTCCAAATCCACATTCACGTAGAAAACGTGCGTTGTTATAATGTCCATTCCGATCAATATCCATAAGTCCAACACGACCATAAACTTTACTAATGGCAAATAAATGTTTGCGAGATTCATGTCGTGGTAGCTTGAGTGTATCAAATCCAAGTCTTAAGAAATACCAGACATCACAAAACGCAAAGCTTGATAGAATTCCAATGCTTAATGCTGATATAATCGTGTATTGAGCTATAAAGTAACTCAGCGCCGACACGATTGTCGGTGGCAGCATTAAGAATATGAACGCAAGCCATTTCTGGGAGATAATCATATTATGCTTCTCAAGTTATTATTTTAATATTAGCAGCGTTTTCTATTATAATAAAACGATGGAATCGCTTGCTACAGAGTTAGAAGAGGAAGTGCGGCAGCTATGCGAGCAAGAACAAACGAAGCAGACAGCATTACTAAAGCAGCGATTATATAGTCGTGTAGGTCAATTTCTAATGAGTCATTTCGATAATCAGCATTGGTGGTGTAGCTACTCGCCACTTATGGTCTTTATGATGCGGATACTCGAGCTTTATCCAGCATCCGAAAGTGTCTGTGTCTTTTATAAACGAATGATACAACAACTTGGTACCTGTCGTCAATGGTGAAGTAATTTCTTTACATGTTGTGATGAATATCAATCTGACTCTGGTTGTTATAGTGTCGACATCTATCACGCATCTATGCCAAGCGTACACGTAGAACTCGAGTTTGAATTTACGCTTGAGTCCATTCACGCGTTTTTTGTTAAAGTTCAAAGTTTGGATGCTGATCGAATACAAAACCAGTTGACTGACAAGTCTATGGGTTTAACTGCTGCATATCAAGAGACATCGGAATTGGTAGCACGCACATTGTATGAAGTGCTTACTCAACGACGACTTTTGTCCGACTTTCGAATTGTAAGAGTATTATCGAAGGTCAGTTTTGGACGATATTTGTTAGATTATTGTAGGAGAAACTTGACGTTTGTCGAATTACATCATAGTGGGTTTCTAGTCGGTATTCTGATGTTAAAGCAAATCAAAGTTTAGAGAGTCTTCAAGGTTGTGCAGGTTTGTATCAGCTACTGGTATCACCAGATTCTGCAGTGAGGTGCGTACTGTTGCGTTTAATTTGAATTTGTTGAGGCTACTGACAAAAATTGCGTGGCAGGAAATGGGCACAAGAAATGGTAACACACTTTGGTCATATTCAGCTTACAGGAGACAATGGCGAAGATAAATCTTTGTTAGACGTCATGGAAGAGTGGATGTACATACTGGAAAATGAGGCATTTAATAAACCTGTACTATCACTAGACCTGCGAACGACGGATAATCTTGAAACTGTAAGTATCTGCATGCAATATTCACTTGCGTCAAGCATGATAGCTAACAATTTTAACGTTGTAGTTTATTGAGCCGAGCAACTGTGTGAAGACTCCGACGAAGCAGATGTTATGGTCTGCACTCGATCATGTCATGCAGGTTCAAAATCAGTTGATATGTCTGTCCTGTTAAGAGACATATGCATTCTCATCTGCATATCTGTGTTAAAATGCAGCAAATGGATGTACACAGTTTAGAAACCATGCTTGACTCCTTTGACACGATTCCGGATCTGGCATTTAACTTTCTGCAAGACGCTGACCCTTCAGGAGACCAGACACTTACGTTAGTGGTGCGCAAAACGCAGCATTTCACACCGCTTCCACTTGTTTATATCTCAGTTTATGGCCAATGTAGGTTGCCAAGTGTTTTACGGTTCTTTTACGTTGTCTTGGACACCAGTTTTGGAATCACTCTGTGCACTCTCCAGAAACTGTGCTTGATGTAGTTATGCAGCATTGCCGTCTTGCATCATGGCGCGCGTTTGTCACGAAACAATTTATTGAAGTCTTACCACCGTTGCTGGTGGCCATGCGACCGCCTCAAGTCTCTAAACAAGCGGTATGCTTTGACTATAATCTCGTTTGCAATACAAAACTTCTTACAACTTTCACACATACAGTCGAACAAGGAGAAGCTTGATATTTATATGAAGTCTCGAAGGGCGATCTTGCAGTTTTTGCTACTCCAAGAGCTCCGACCGAGACACTTTGACACAGTTGCAATTGTTGCACAATCACGAGCAGCATTTACCATTTTGACAGATTGCTATGAGCACCGTATGCCTGAAAGTATCAAGAATCAGTCTGGAGGTGGACGTGATGAAGGAGCATTGTCGGAGTCATTTTCGATTGACTATTCAATCTCAGAGAGTGCTTTTTGGTGGCCTTGCGGTTCAGATTCAAAGGCTGATAGCGATACCGAGCTGGGAAAGTTGTGGATGGATCGTTTATTTGATATTGTCATCCGACCAAACAATGTTGAGTCCCTCGTGAACTTGGCAGCCGAAACAACCGCTCTCATAATAAGTAAACATTTACAACTTGCTCGATATGTTGTTTATTCCAGTATCGTTGCGTCTAATGGGGAAGACATGACATCTATTGAAGCTGTTACTACAGGAAAACCGATTATCACTGACTTGGTTCAAAAATTGTGCATTTGGGATGTTGTTACAACGATACCGCTACGAGTTCACGGAGCCTTGTTCGAAACAATTGGAGGTATTTCGGAGCTTCTTAATGGACTTAAGGAACAAATACATCCTAGTCATCACTTGCAATCCATTGAACACATTTTGCTGAAATACGAAGCGCAAACACAGCAATATCTCCAGCGAATAAGCGAGGAAGTGTTGTTAAAAGGTTTAGCTAACCCATTTAATTTTCCAGTGGTTTCTCAGCACATAAGTGTTTGTTATCTGAGTGAGACGAATTCTGTTGCCCAGCAGCTTAAGAGGTGTGCTGAATCTGTGTTGGGACAAGGTGCTTTGTACTAACTATATGTGATCTTACAGATTAATTGGCCACTATACCGCTGATAAGAATCGTCCTACGCAAGTGCCTTCTTCATTGGAAGCTTTCCTTATCTCGGTGCATCGAAATGCTGAGGCTTTCCTACGTGGCCAGCTTATATTGCTTCAATCTATGCGCCTTTACGGATTTTCGCATTTAATTTGCTTTCCAGCTGTAAAGAAGTTGATTTTGATTTGGTGTCGCGTCTTTGATATGCTGAGTGGTGATTTGCAAAAGGTTTTCCAAATAGCTTTGAATGCAAAAACTTTGCGCTTATCATCGCACCAGGCTACGGATACTAATATCGCAGCTATTCACTTGCTAAAGCTTCCTATCCTGATTAACGACTTCTTGATTGCGATCTTAACAGCCTTGTATAATCCATCTCAGAAACTCACGATCGAAATTGTGGAAGGAACACGAGTACATTGTCTCGCGTTTGGAATCTCGTTCTGGAAATTTTGGGCGCTAGTGCTTCAAGATACGAGCGTGTCCAGTGAGCGAGTGACGGGAATTATCAGTCCTTTGGTTGAGTGTATAGCAAGAGGATCATCATCTGAGAAAACGAGAGCTGCTGAATTGTTAATGATGGTACTTGAATGCCTTTTGAAAGGAAATACTCGATTAAATGAAACGACTCTCTCTATGATTGACAGCATAAAGAGTGAGGCCGCAGCAATTGAGTCCAAACAATCTACTGACTTCGGTCGTATGACCAAAAAATTTCGTCAGCTTGACCAAAACTCAAGCTTTTTTGCGAAGCGCTCAGCAGATCCAATCAAAGCAAAAGGGTTTACGGATATGACATCACGATCGAAGCCGAAGCTCGTACTTCAATCAAAATCCGCTGGATCCATTTCTCGACCGATACGGAAGTCGGCCGTCAGAACTCATAGTAGCGCAATGGTCGATCTTTCAGGCATCGAAAAAGTATCAAGCGAAGCAGCAGCAAGAAAGCAACATTCCTTTTACTCAGAAGCAGAATACCGCTCTTCTTCTAGCAAGGAATCTGCTCCAAAAGACCAGATTTCAAAGACAAAACCTTCGTTTGACCTGGCTCAGGTCGTTAAAGGAATTGCACAATCACATTCTGGCTCAAATATGGCAAGTCATCCAGAACATCCAAAGCAAGTGATCAAAAGAGATGTTTCAAATCAATTGCAAGACGAGGTCGACACGGAGATCGATTTACCATTCGCCGCGCTTTTTCATCGGATCAAGACAACGCGAAAGCCTATCGCAATATGTTCTTTGCTGCCATTTTATCGACAGCTTCTTCAAACCGGCATGCCAGTTCTTTTGTCTGGTGAGTTTACAAATGAACAATCGAGTAAGGAACTTCAGGTGCCCAGCTTAAGTTTCAAGAAAAGCGCTGACTATGTTCGAGCTTTTCTACCTCTGATGGTAGAAGAATGTCATAACGAAGTACAAGAGGGACTTCGAAATTTGTTTTCTGGTAATGGAGGACATCTATTGCGCTACGAGTCTGAAAAGCCTAAAGAAGGGATGCGGTGCATCAATTTTAGTATTGTTCAAAAAGACGAACGATTGTTAGCAAGCTCTCAGTCAAAGTTTGGATCAGCAGGCAGAAAACAATATAACGAAAAGCTGTTTCGAAATGGTGATGTGGTTCTCTTGCAGATTGCAGTGGGAAGCGAAAACAAAGCCGATTTTATGGGGAAACGGGAGATTTTGGGAGTTATCTTGGTCAGTGAGGCGGAAAAAGGCCGGAGACAATCCTTTTCAGCGAAAAAGAGTATCAAAAACAAGGAGGAAGAGTCTGTATCCGTGCTCTTTTTAAATGACAGCGAGCTGGACAGCGCAACGACAAATGTACGCTCATTCTCAACTGACGTGCTTGGAGCTAATGCAATTGCCGATTCAGAATGGAAAGTAAAATCTCTTTGTAACTTAATTACGTCTGCGCGTGAATATATCGCCCTTCGGTCAGTAGACATGCTTCCCGAACATTTGAGAACTGCAATTCTTACTCCGGAAGCTTTCAAATCGACCCAATCCGAGCTAATTACCATCAGTTCCGTCCTGGACGAGCTGCGCGGCAACAACTCAAGTGAAAGCTGCGCGAAAATTCTGAAGCTATTAAAACGCTTAAGCCGTATGAACGTGATGCTCACAGACTTAAGGGTATGTGCTCAAATTATTTAAAGTTTTAGACTGATTATCAACACACTCACTATGTCTAATCAGACTACCAGTATAGGGAAAGCTGTAAACAAGCTGCGTAAGCACGCCAACTCGGACATCAAGGCTCTCTCGACCAAATTAAAGGAAAGGTGGACTGATCTAATGGATAAGACTGACGACTTGGAATGTGCTCCTCGCTTTATATCGTCAGAACTGTGGGATGCGCTTAAACCCCAGTACAATTCTTCTCAGCTCCAGTCTATCCACAGTGTACTTAATAACTACAGCACGGGTGTGTCTCTGCTTCAAGGACCACCAGGAACTGGCAAAACGAAAACAATCATGGGACTTTTAAGTGGATTACTATCATTGCAGCTACCAGCTACTGCAGTCATGCCGGTGGTACACGCAAAAGGTACCCTCAACGCTCAAAATGATGCTAGCAATAAAGAATTCAAGAACTTTGAGGCTGCACGGTCTCGTCAGGTAAAGGTTGGTCAACCTGGTGGACAAACATCATCACCACGGGTTTCAACAGCAACCTTTTCTTTGACTGGAGTGACATCAGCGCTTGGTAGTATCCTACGTCGCTCCTCTGATTCTTCCTCGAATAAACAAAGCCGAACATCTATCCAGGCACTGAAATGCTTAGAGTCATCGCGAGATCGACTGGAAAGCAAGTTGACATCACGGTCTCAGCATTCAAACTCAAATTTGGTTGTAAAGCGCCGAATTATTACAAGAAGTGCATCGAAGCGCTCGGGTAGTCAAACAAATAAAATCCTTCTATGTGCTCCATCTAACGGTGCAGTTAATGAACTGGTGCTGCGAATTGTTACTGACGGGCTGATGGATAGCTCGGGAAAAAAGACAAAGGTTCGAGCGCCAAGCGTGCATCCCGAAGCACTTTTGGAAAATGACATCTCCATTGTTCGTCTTGGAAGTGCTGGCGAGGATGCAACTGAAAGTGTAAATTCTGTGTGTTTGCCTCATATCATTCGGCGCGAAATGGCTATTCATCCAAAGTCCATGGAATTACATGCACTACAAGACACTCAGCGACAAATGCGAAGCTCAATTCGAGACTTTCACACCAGAGCAGAAGAAGAGAATGGACAAAAGAAAGATCGAAAGGTGCTTGCCAAATTGCATCAGCAGCTAACGGAATGCTCGGGAAAAATTCGACGCTTGCGAGACGAAGTGACTGCCATTCGAACTAAAATGACTGAATCGATTTTATCGAAAGCAAATATTATTGCTTGCACACTATCAAAGGCGGGAAGTGGCGAATTGTCCGAATTAAAACATGGCTTTGACGCATTAATTATTGATGAAGCAGCCCAGGCAGTGGAATTAAGCACTCTCGTTCCGATTCGGGAGCGAGTCGCTCGAGTTATTTTAGTTGGTGACCCGAAACAGCTGCCTGCTACAGTGAAAAGTGTTGTCGCAGCGAAAGCACGATATGATCGATCGTTGTTCGAACGGATTGCAGAAAGTGGAGTTGCTTCATCAATGCTTCGAGTGCAGTATCGGATGCACCCTTTTCTACGAGAGTTTCCGTCGAAGAGGTTTTATGGAGGAATGCTTAGTGATGGACCAAGTGTCATGGAGCGAGTTCAGGAAGTATGCCCCGCCATTTACGCACATACAACCTTTCAGCCTTTTTTGTTGTACGATGTTGAGAACTCACGAGAAGAAGAAATGAATGGATCAAAGTACAATCGTGTGGAGGCAGTGTTTTGCATCAGTTTATGTCAACACATGTTTGAAAGGTGTGCTGACGTTCGAAAGAACAAGTGGAGTGTTGGATTTGTATCACCTTACAAGGAACAGGTGCGTGTGCTTCGTCAAGAAATTACACGGTCGAAGATCCCAGCAAGTGTTTCAATCGAAGTAAATACGGTGGATGGATTTCAGGGTCGAGAAAAAGATGTGATTGTATTTTCATGCGTACGATCGTCCAAGAAAGGTGGAATCGGCTTTTTGCGTGATATTCGACGTTTGAACGTGGCAATCACGCGTGCAAGATTTTGTTTATATGTAGTTGGTAACGTGGAAACTTTAGTGCGCGATAAAACGTGGGCTGCATTAGTTAAGAGTGCTCGTGATCGGAAATTGATTATTAACTCAAACGGAGAGCCATTTATGACTGTGGCAAAGAGGCTTGAAAGCGACAAATATCGCGACTTGGCTGAGCACTATAAGCAGATGCACGAAAAGGCACTTCGAAAGGTTGTGCTACCGCAGGAGTCAGAAAAAGTGAAAGCGATCAAGATAGAAAACCATGAGCGAAAATTGAAAGAGGAGATACATGATGTGAACATGGATGGAGACGGTGTGACCACAACTACTTCTGTGCATCAAAACGAGGTTAAGATGTTAAGTGATGCTAAGCAAAAGAAAGAGATTGATATGGGGCATGTCAAATCCGATTTTTCTCCCAACCTTGCGCGCGATGTCACAGTGGAGCCTTCTGAAAGCCAGAAGAGAACAAGGACCGAGCCTTTTAATCCTGATGCAACAAAAAAGCCTCGGTTGTCTACTCCAATTCAACCCACTGCAGCGGACTTGCAAGATCATTATAAAATCCAAAGTTTTCGAGATCGCAATAATTCATTAAAATTAAGCTCAGAAATTCATTTCTCGCATAATGCAGATACCGACCAGCGCGAGCCATCTATTTCACGGGATGATCGAAGCTCCGTCGACAACGATCGGCGCAGAGTTGAGAGTCCACATTTATCTACAGATAAATGTGAAGTCCAACGTGATCAGTCCCGCATATCTCGTTACAACAGACGCTCATACGATCGATCGCGAGACGATCGGAGAAATGAAGGCAAAAACTGGTCAGATAATCGATCTGATGGGACCAATCGTCGTGACCACGATAATCGAGCTAGACACTCAATTGAGAATAGGAAAACTCCTTCTCCATATTCAAGTACTTTGGTCGATGCGCCGCACTCAATATCTGAAAAGCAGTTTTGTCAAGCAAATGAGCCCCCTCGATCTTCCACGTCTGACTGTAAGCGTTTAAATGCAAGGTCAAATGGAAAACGACGGCACTCAGAGTACAGTCATCCACCACCACATCCAAGTCGCGACCGTGTGTCATCAAGTAAAAGCAGCTATCGATCTGCGACGAATGAGGCAAGACACATAGCCAGAAATACGAAAAATCCTACAAACAAAAGCACCAATGTGCTAAGCAATATTTTAGGTAGTGCTAAAAAGCTGGCGAGCTCCACTTCGCGTGTATACGACAAATCCCATCCACGTAGCTCCGAGTTTTCCTAAAGCTCATATCTTGGTCTTCCATTTGTTTGATTCGAGGCAATGTGCCATTTAAAAAATTCTTGCATACTAGACCTTAAAGAACTAGACGCAGCAGTGCAGCACCCACGGCCATGATGGTACCAGCAAAACCTACAGCATATTGTAGCATACGCTTCTCTACTTTCTCCATTGACAATCGAAGCTCGTTTAATGTCTCGTCTTCCGCTTGCTTTTGTAGTAAAAACTTTTTCTCAAGCTCTGCAATCTCCATGCGTATTTTGTCAAAATCGATCTTTTCAAGCATACGAATATCTTGCTTTAATGTATTAAAGTCACGTTCTAGTAGCTCTCGCGAATGGCGTTGTGCAATATCTGTACGTCAAAAGATCAGTATGATACTATTATAATCATTCAGCTAAACTACACAGCATACCAAACTTAAGAGTGGAGTTAAATACACGTTCAGACAACTCAGCTTTCAATTCTACATGCTCGGATTTTGTAGCGAGCTAAATAAGGGATCAGCACGGAGTTTAAAGAATATCGTGAACTACTTACAATACGTGCTTGAGCCACTAAAGAATCAGCCATAGCGTCTTTCATTACGTCTAATATAGCCTCAGATTGTTGTATGGAAAAGCCTAATTGACGTCACATTACAAAGCTTTAACTCAACGTTTAATCTTAGCAAAATTAGCAAGCATTTACCTTTTTCCTGCAAGCTCTGGACTACATGATGTGTATCAAAGTGTAGCGGCATCTCATCATGAGCTGAAGCAAAGTAACGACAACCAATTGTACGCGCAATGGAATTATGAGGTTCCATCCATGGTGTTGGTATTGATTTAATGTTCCAGCACGACGCATTCATTGCCTTCCGCACTGCATCTCTACGTAACACACTCATGTCGTTCTTGGAAGTTTATTAATATATTGTGTGCTTTACTTCGATTGTGTAAAATACTTAACCAGTTTTAATAACACGTGTGTCAATATCGTGCATTTACTATAATCTCTCATTTTTATTTCAAGCTTTTAAATTGTAGTAGTGCGATTATAGCTACATGACTGAAAAGTCAATGATAACCAGAGACTTCTTGAAAGTGACCACCTGGATTGAATTTCAGCATGAAATTAGGCGCCTCTTTCTCGAGCTTCGAAGGCTCGACATCCAACTCACGTAGTCCAGGTAAATCTGATGTTTTAATCTCATTTAGACTGAGACGAGTGGCCCAGTCACGGGTAAATTTTGGATCTGGAAATTGTTCACAAAAGTAGCCAATGGCTTGGGCGACGGAAAGTGGTAGATTCACTAGTCTCGGATTTTGCTTCGTGACATCAAATACGTAATCAGCTAGTTCCTTATACGAAAACTCTTCATCACCCACAAGCTCAAAGGTCTGACCTTGAATCGTTTCATCCTGCGTGATATGATAAATGGCCTTGGCAACATCATTAACGAAGACTGGCTGGATAATAGCATCTCCATTATCAACTACAGGCACACCTCCATACATGAGGCGATTGCCCATCCAGATAAGTAATCGATCTTCCGGACCAAACATATTAGAAGGTCGTACGATATTGACTTTAGGAAATGCCTTGCGAACAGCAACTTCACCACGAAATTTAGAAGCAGCCCAAACAGAAGGTGAGTTTGGCTGGGCTAATAGCGACGACACATGTACCATTCGAGGTACACCAGCCTCTTTAGCCACTTCCGCGATAGTTCGAGCTACATCCACATGCACATCATCGTACGTATAGTTGATCCACCAAGGAAGAAGATGTTTTGTCTGGTAATGTTTGCCAATGAGATTAATGACAATGTCCGAGCCTTTAACTGCCTCAAAAATCGAGTCACGATCGCGTGGATGATACGGATGTGGAGCCACATTGCCTAAATCAGCTGATACTCGTAAATGCGCCACTTCAGCATCATCTCCACGATATGGTAGTACGTATCCATTTCCATTAATGCCTAGTACCATAACCCAAAATACTTGTTAACAACAGTAAACAAAGGGTTTCAACACACAACTTCGTACCAAGATGTGCGCATACATAACGTCCTAAAAATCCTGTAGAGCCAAAGACTGTGGCTGTGATTCCATCGCCACGTACACGACCAACGGGATGACGTAAAGCTGCTTTGGCCACAGGAGAGAGAGCCGACATGTCAATTTTTACTTGCGATTGTGCGGTAGGAAAAGGAGCAACCTTCAAACAACATTCATCGACATTGGTCATTTTTAGCGCAGTTATTTACGCTATGAAGCTTGGTAGCAAAAAGGAGCAAGCATACGCTTCATTAGACATGGAGTCACCGCATACAGCGCCGATACGACGTAATCAATCGAATGTTCAGTTATCTCCGACGTCATCCTCTACAATTTCCATTGCATCAGAGCATGGAAATATCTTCAGTAGTGACGGAAATAGTCGGCGTTTGCATAATAGCGTCGCTAACTACGTTCTTACAGCGTTAGATGGACCTGTGCGTCAATTGGCATTTGAAACGAAAGGAGCGCTGTTGGCAACTGGGTAAGCTGGAATATGAAATAATGGGATTTATAGACTCATAACATTTTGAACTTCAGTTTAGCAGCAACGTGCTATTTACTTGCCTATTTTCAGGCGGTAATGATTCCATTCTTCCTTGCAGTTTTTCTCATGTATGGTGATATATAGTGATGGCATGATTTTCTTGTTTTGTACACTAATTTTATGCTTTAGGTACTTAGTAGATCCACTTGTCGAAGTTATTGATGTCTCGCCTCGATATTTTCTATGCATCTGTACATCACGTGGTCGACATGCTCGGCGAAAATCACGCGGATGTTCACGTGCACTTGCATCGTTTGTGGCTGTGAGCTTAGTGTGTGTATTCTTTGGATTATTGGGTTACATTACTGTGCTTTCGGTTCATGCACTTGATGCAAGTGCGTATCAAACTGGATATAACAGTTTAGTATCTGGTGTTGAACATCTTCTTGGACAGATTGGACTTCCAGTAAATATCACAACAACACTTCATGATAATGTTGATAAGCTTGCACGTTTTGTCGTGACAGAAACGATGGATTTACTCTCCGTAATGTTTGTGACGCTTATTTATCTCACGTATTTCTTATGCACTCGTACTCGTGCAAGTGATGCTGGAGGTGTTTGGTCAAAGATTGATCATGATATTCAACGGTTTGTGACACTTAAGTGCTTTTTATCGTTATTTGTGGCTCTGCTTGTTACGATCGTCTACGTCTCGCTAAATGTTGGACTTGCTGTTGTATGGGGTATGTTAACTTTCATATTAAATTGGATTCCAAACGTTGGAGCGATGATCGCGTCTGTTGCGCCCATTTGCATTATCGCTATCACTCCATCAGAGTTGATGAATCCAATGGAGAAATTCTTAGCCATGTTTCTTCCAATGTGTTTCCACATGTTTGTGGGCAATTTTGTAGAACCAAAAGTTTTTGGTCGTAAACTTGAGATCGATCCCGTGATTGTGATTCTGTCACTATCTGCGTGGGGTCTTTTATGGGGCGTAGTAGGCATGATGTTGTCTGTTCCTCTGACTGCCGCAGCCAAAATAATGCTCAGCCATCTCAAGTTATGGCCTGAATTTGTCGCTTTAGTAGAAGGAACGTACTTCACACGATTTGGAAGTAAGACTAGTCGTCGATATAAGAAAGAAGAGGATGATCAAAAGGGGTTTGAAACAATGGAAGTACGAACAGAAAGTGAAAAGGATCGTGCAAATAACAGCCACATACGGGCATAGCTGAGCAATTAAAAATCAGGTAGAAGTATCCATTTAGAACGTTTTCTTATAAGTCGACTGCTGCATATAGAATCACAAGCATGCAGACTATTAAACTAATGATCAACATTTGGGATGGCCTTGCGGCAATAGAAGGGTCGTACAAGCATTTGCATCTCATCGATCCTTCCTCTTCGCCAAGTTCCTTCTTGCAAAGCTGTTCATCAACTATTTCGACGGCATATTCTTCATAATTGGGGGGTTTAGCTGCGCGATTATCATTCAGAAACATGAGGACGCCATCACACGTATGTCTTGAAGTATTACAAGGCACGTCATTAAATCCAATTGGAGTGTGTGCAGCGCCACAGACTGAATTGGAGCAATACCAAGTGGACGTCGTGTGATCCTGACAAATATGCTGTTGATCTTCACAACCAGTCCATACTTTATGTGGAACGATAGGAGAATTTGACGAGCAAATTGACTCACGATTTTCAGGTAGCAGTAAACCGCAGTCCGAGAAGAACTTTGGTTTGATTTTTAAAGCCACACTAGCACATATTTTCACAGTCTTCATGCTTGAAGTGAAGAACTGGGTATCCAATGGTGTCGTAAAGTGTGTAGGTTCTTCAGGATCACATGCATAGCAAAAGACAAAAGAAAGAAAGCGTTTAGCTTTATTCTGATACTTTTTGCATGCTGGTCCGGCTTCAATGAGTCCAAGAAATTTGCCGTTGATGTCTGCATCGTGTGCTGATAGACAGCAACTCTTAGCATTGTACCAATTACAAAAGACAAGTGGTTGGATATTCTGGTTTTTATTTGATACTTTGTTAGATCTCTGAGAATTAACTTTAGATTGATTCTTACCTTTTGAGGTGGATCCTCTATACAATTACACGCACGATCTTCTGACGATCCCAAAGTTACGCTTAAACATGCGATGAATAGAAAGCCAAAAGCGACAATGAACATCCGTAGGATCATAATAGCTTTTGAGTCGACGTGAACTTCGATAGTTGAAAACCTCGTATAACATATAATTGATGAAATCAACTTGAGATTTCAGAGATTATAGGAGTTAGAATAATGGATAGAAGAGAGAGATCTTGATCCCGTTTTGCAATAAGTAGACAACACCTTCATTGCCGAGATAGTGAAGATTGGAGTGGCGCGGGGATTAATTCTCGCACTCGTCAAGAGCAGGTTAGAGCATTGATGTAGTATGTAAAGTGCAATTGGTTTTTATGATTATCGTAAGTGCTTCAACGTCACTGGAAGTATTTTAAGATAACACAAGCCACCTGGATTGTGGCTTTCGGTGGGAATAAAGCTTGGTGGCTTTGCGGATGCAAATTGAACGAGTGGCTTTATCTTCGTGATCATGGGAAGCACAACGTCATGGTGCTGGAGACGTCAACAGCGTCTACACAAAAGGCTGAATACACGAGTTTACTGTCTTTTACCGGGTCTGAACTTTGCCAAAGACAAAGGTGTAGCCCTTATTGATCATAACTGCTAAGACTACATTGCTTTGACCAAGTATTGGTAATCACTCGTGCGCAAATCAGACTAACAACGAGTGAACGGAAACACACCAGCTTGATTTTTTGAGTGTATTCTGGTCTTCAAGGGCTCGCGGTGATAGTTTTAAAACTCATGTTTCTGAATGTTTAAACTCCAAATACTTTGGTCAGCCTTGATGAAGTATCGATACAGTAGTCACATTACTGTGTTGCTGACGATATTCATGGCATAGCCGTTGATAATTACTTACTAGCTAAAAGATGCCAAGATGACATTGAAACAAAGCAATCGAATTGCTTAAGACTTAGACGTAACTGCGCATAATACCAATGCAGATAACTTTGGAAGTGTGTCAGGAGACTAACGATAAAAGGGTATTTAAGCTTTAAGAGGTGAAGGTACTCTGCGGATTATAAAAGCGATGACTTTTATATTTGCAAAATCAGTGGTGGATCACTGACATCCTTTATCGTGTCAAATTATCGTTTGTGGGCTTTATCTCAAACAATCACTTTTTAAAACTCTCATAAAAAGCAAACATCACGTCTCATTCAGTAAATACCAGGGATTGATAAGTGACATTGAATCTCTCGTCATTGCACCTACGTATTATCATGCGTACTGGCGACGATTATCAGCTTTTATCAACTTTACGACAGTCGCATTCTCGCATTGTTTCTGTTTGATCGAGGATGACAAAAGTGATGAAAATGAATCAAAAATCATGTTTGTTCAAGGTCCAGTCGCCAAAACAAATTTTGTGAATTTTATCACATAACCAGCCTGAAATGGTACGACTACTTTAATTTTGTGGATAGGAGCTGTTTCTGGATGTTTAAGGGGAAATTTGCGAGCTAAGAGCGTCTGTGACACTGTTACATAACGCGCTAGACACTAGGATGACGACCTCATGGTGGTGGTGGTTGTTGCAGTTGCAGTTATTGTTGACGTAGATGTTGCAACATCAACTACAAGCATATGCATGTAATTTTTGACTGGATGTAATTGGATTGATGAACCAGTTCAATATATTTTAATTTTCTGCTTGAACCCAAACAGGCACTAAAGTGTCAGCTTATGAGCCCAAGGGCACAATATTGAAGTCAACATGAAGAAATCAACATACTTACTCGGCAATGATAACTATTTTCATTGGTCGTTCAACATGAAAATGGAGCTACCACGGAATATGCTACGGGATCACGTGATGGAATTAAAGTCGGAAGCTGAGATGACGCTGGAATGACGTGCAAATGACATGAAAGCAGTCGCCATTACTGCACAAGGGATCCAGTTAGAACACCAATTAAAAATCCGTTCTGCCCGTACTGCTCGTGAAGCATGGGAGATTCTTAAAGAATGTTACAATCGCTCAAATATTCACAATCGAGTGACTTTGACAAGACGTGTACATGAGTTCACTATGGAAGATGGAGCAAGCATGGCTTTTCACCTCGATAATTTCAATGTACTGGTAGTTGCGATAGAGGGTGTCGAGGATGGGATAGGTAGCTTGTGATATTGCTCGGTAGTCTGCCTAGCAGTTATGCAACGATTGTTTCTATCATTGATAACTCTAAGGAAATTTCACTTGACGAAGTGAAGGAAAAGCTCGTGAAAGAGCACGAAAAGATCGAAAATGCTGAAAGCGCATTCAAGGTGCGATTTCGTGGTCATGGTGGTCGAAAGAATAAACAAGGTCGCCGTGGTCGCCAAGATCAGCATATTCGACAAGACATGAGACAAGGTAACCGTGGACAACCACTACCAGCTCGAGGTTTCACCAGGCGTTGCCATGGCTGCAACAAAATTGGTCATAAGAAGGTGGACTGTCCATCAAGTGCACGCAGTAGTGATGTACTGTTTATGGCAAATATGAACGGAAAATAAGACTGGTTGCTTGATAGTGGTGCATCGTCGCACATGAGCCCTGAGCGAAAGTATTTCCATTCTTGCAGAGTATTGATAGAGAGCATTGGTGTTACAATTGCTGATGGTGAATTACTCCATGTGATTGGTTTGGGTGATATTCACATGCAATGCCCTCAAGGTCGCATAGTGAAGACAGTAGACGCTCTCCACATTCCTAGATTAGATCGTCGGCCAATCTCAGTCGCAAAACTTACCCAGAAGGGTCTGGTATGAAAGAGTGTACTATCTCTCGAGGATAGCGACCGTACCACAAGCAAACAATGGGTATCGTGAGAAGAATCAAGCAACAATTATTGACCATCAAGAAAGATCAGATGATTGGAAGTTATGGCATGCGAGATTAGAATACCCGCATCAATATGAAACGTGTAGTTGATGCGAGTGATGATATCCCTGGAGGGCTCCAGCGTGATCAAGACCTATGTGGTGGATGCATGCTTGAAAAAATACTGTCACATCATTCCCAAAGCAAAAAAAACGTGGTATGATAAAAGCCGCACGAGTTCTACAACTGGTGCACACAGAGTTCATGGGACCCATGAAAAAACGTCTACCGGTGGGGCAAAGTATGCACTGCTCTTCACAGATGACTATTCGCGCTACATATGTGCATACTTTTTGAAGAGTACTACGGAAATGGCAAATCGTTTTCGCGAGTACAAAGCAAAGATGGAATGGTAACTAGGTGCTGGAGTCAAAATCGTTCGGTCAGACAATGGGACTAAATTCGTCAACAAGAATCTTGGCAAGATTTGTGTTGATGGTGGAATTATCCACCAACGCTTTGCACCATATAGTCCTCAACAAAATGGACTTGTAGAACGAACAAACTGAACCGTGATAGAGATGGCAAGAAGCATGATGCTGTACAAAGCTATTGAAACTCGATGGTGGGCTGATGCAGTCAATACTGCTGTGTACCTGTTAAATCGGATGACCAGCACCGTAAAAACTGAAATTTCACCATACGATATTTGTTCTGGCTATCGTCCAGACCTCGATATAATTCGTGTCTTTTGATATTCGGGGGTATGCACATGTTGACAAGTCTCAACGAACAAAACTCGACGCGACATCATTTCGCTGCTTGTTGCCGGGGTACATGGAACATAGCAAAACTTACCGTGTGTTAAATCTCGATACTGGACAAGTCAAAACAAGCCGTTCAGTTGCTCTAGAATATCGCGGAGTATCCAGCATCTATCATGTGAAAAATACGGATAAGCCTCATGAGTATCTTCAGATTCCAATTGATGATGATTAAATAATGATACCTTGTGTTTCACAGCCAACACAAATCGATGATGTGATCACGGATGATGACTAAGTTGATAACGACGAAAGAAAGTCTTTGGCGGTTGTGCCCATATTCCTACATCAAGCATTCAGCATGCGATTCCACTACAAACTGAAATCACACATGATAATAACTTACTCAGTGGGAGGGATGCAATTGTATTCCATCCTCCAATCCATCGTCGCCAACCTATTTATAGTCAGCATCACGTGCTGAGTGATGTGCCTCACACTCAACAGCGCCTCCAGATTGAGTCCGATGCCACTCCAGAAAAACGAATAGTTGTGTTCGAGCCAGTGGGGGAAGACCGTCAGCACGATGACTCTGGTATATGAATGTGCGACCGCCAAAGCGTTCACAGATTGATGATGGCATGGTAGCATTCAGTGCTAATGCGCCAACATCATTCAGCGGCGCAACCAATGGAGAGTGTAAAAATTAGTGGGAGCAAGCTATAATGAATGAGATTGACTTATTAGTTCGCAACAACACATGGGATATTGCAGATTTCAAATCTATTATGAAAACTATTGGATCCAAGTGTTTTTTTGCGATAAAGAAGAACGAACATGGTGAGATTAATTTATACAAGGCGAGACTCGTTGCACATGGATTTAGTCAAAGATTTGGTATAAATTTCTTTGAAACCTACGCACCAGTAGCAAACTTGAACTCCATCTACATAGTATTATCAGTATGCTGTTACCAAGGATGTTAATACTGCTCTCCTTTTGTGAATGCTCGATGAGTTGGTATACATGAGAGTGCCCGAGGGATTCAAAAGTGACAACGGCAAAGCACTGAAACTGAACTGTTCCCTTTACGGCCTCAAGCAAGCGGCTCACGTTGGAAGAAGACCATCAACGACGCCCTACTGAAAATTGGGTTCAAACCTTCATCGATTGATTCATGCATCTATGTTCGAAATCGACCTGAGTCTGTAATTTACATCTGCCTATACGTTGAAGTTATGCTAATAGCGACCACAATCATTAAAGAAGTGGATGAAATCAGATCATAAATCACTCAACGGTTTTGTATCAAAGATTTGGGTCGAGCAAAGTTGATACTTGGAATGAAAATAAATTATGCAATAAACAAGAAGACGCTAGCTATATCACAGAGCCACTACATCGAGGAAGTAGCTAAGCGTTTCAATCAATCAAATGCACGACCAACCCAGAACCCATGTGATAGTAGAATGCAGTTAATTCGAGATGACTCTCCAAAGACAACGGATGAGAGAGACGCGATGGAGAAACGACCATTTCGTTCATTGATGGGTTGACTGCTATACATTGCAATGGGTACTTTACCAGATGAATTCTATGCTGTATCTCATCTCAGTCGTTTCCTAGATTGCGCTAGCCAGACATATTGGAAGGCTGCAATTTGTATACTGCGGTATTTGTATACAACTCGATCTATCATATTGACTTTCAGTGGGGGTGTTTTGAAACAATATCTGGTTGCGTTTAGTGATGCATACTAGGGAAGCAATGTAGATGACCGACGATCAGTATCTGGTGTTTTGGTGATGCTTAATGGTAGGCCGGTTGTCTTTAAAGCAAAATATTAGAAGACGGTTGCATTGAGCTCAGCTGAAGCAGAATACATGGCTTGAAGCCTATGCTCACAGGAAGTTGTTTGTGCTCAAAGATTAATGAAAGAACTTGGTTAAAAATAATCAAGTCCAGCGGTGATCTATGAAGATCATCAAGGAGCCATTGCCCTGGCGCACATTGTTGATTACAATGCACGCTCAAAGCATATTGATATCCGCCACCATTTTGTCCGTGAGCGCGTCTCAAATGGTGAAA